AAACTTAATTTCAATCTTAACCTTAACCTTAATCTTAATCTTAATCTCACATAGTCTTAATCGTAATCTTAATTTTAATACCAATCGTAATCATAATCTTAACCTTAATTTTAATTTTAACCTTCATCTTAATCTCAATCTCAATTTTAATCTTACTTAATCTAAGTCTTAATCTTGATCTTTATCTTTGTCTTTACATTAATCTTAATCTTATTCTTAATCTTAAACATAATCTTAACCTAAATCTGAATCATAATCATAATCGTACCGTAAATCTTATTCTCAATCGTAATCTTACTCTTAATCTTAAGCTTAATCTTAATCATAATCTTAATCTTAATCTTAATCTTGCTCTCAATCGTAATCTTAATCATGCCAAATCAAACCCACCACCTCCTCCCTTTTTCTGTCGATTTTTCATTTCATCGGAGTTTGGATTTGCAACCAGCCGAGTGCAAAGAAATTTCACTTTAAAAGTGTATGCAACTGAAGTCACTCATACGCCATGGCGAGCCAAATTCAGCCAAACATTACATTAGTAAATGATAGTAATGAATAAAGTACAATATATGCGGTTTACTTGTTCGATCACTGCGTGTTTTTTCCGGACACCAAATTAGTGGGATCAATTGATATTATAGAAAACTAATCCTGAGGATAAGGTTCTTCTTAACAAAATGTGTGTTCTCTTAGGGTTATACACGGGCTACATGAGTTCGAATGCACGGCAGCCTACCGCCCTGTGTTTCACCTTTCCCATTTCTGAAGCTCTCTGAGTCCTACAGCCGATAGTGATGCGGTGTGCATTATGTGAAGGTGTATAGGAAAGAGGTTTGTAATAACACTGAGGGCGTCTGTAGGGCAAGTTCTCATTTCCCCTGTGGTCCCGATGCATCCAGCCCTCTGAATGGTGCCTAGGTCTTTTTGCCGTGTTCGAATTAGGCGGACGCAACAGACGTAGGCTTCCTCCTCGGTGCTGTAAGAGGGACAAGAAATGCTTTATATTTTTTTTTTGCCAGTATGCAGGTTCTTTGATTACCATTTGTGCGGGCATATAAACTTCGAAGCCGGGGA